TATACCTTCACGAAACTCTATTGCGTCGGGATTAAGGTCCTGCTTGATTGGAGTCGGTTTGCTGTCGACCACTGGCACATTTGAACCAATCATAGCTTGTTTCTCTCGATGCAGTAATGTATTATGTCGCTTTCGGCATATCTTACAGCAGCTCTTAGAGTTGCAACTGGATAACTTATGCCGATCACTTAAGCAATTGAAACAGAGGTTGTTTTTGGCCACCACATCGTTTCTTTGGGAGGCTTCAAGCCGTAAAAAGGAATCACAAGTGTAAACAGGATGATTTTGCTTACATAAAATACAATGAGACATAGAATTGTTACATTTCACAAACAAGCTTTTCGGTTTAACTCTATCTTGACTACACCTTGGTTTCACGAACGTGGTCTTATTAATATTTTCTAAAATCTGAGAACGCTTTTCCAAAAATGAAATCAAATTATCTAGTTTAGGAACGTCATTCGAACTGATACTGAACTCATACTGTTTTAGAGTCTCCTTATCCAGCTTCTGAAGTACGATATTTAAAATTAAGATATCAGAAAGCTCATTCCTTTCATATCCTAGGACTTTTAGTGCTCGCATATTTCTATTGATGCTATCAATTAAACTCCTCAAACCCCTTGCTGACTCATAAGGTAATTTTACAGAGTCCAGAATCGCATTAACATGGGTTTCTACTATTAATTTCTTATTTTCGTACCTTTCTTGTAGCGCTTGAAACAATGAAGCAAACGAATCGTTTAACGTTTCTAAACTCTTAGCTTCCCCTACGAGAGCAGCCTTCAAATAATGTAGTTTTTGTTCTGCCGACAGTTGCTCGTTTGACGAAATGATATTATCAAATTGCATTTTAAAGTTACTCCATTCTTCATATTTTCCAGAGAATTTCGGTAGAGGAATCTCCGGCAACTTAATATTAGCGGAATTATTTCGAACTACGGGGCCCTGAGTCACCGTGACCACGGACGAATCTGCTTCTAATCGTTTAATACGAGACTGGATCTTAAATTTACAACTTATAATTTTGTCCTCATATTCTTCACTATTGACTATCTCAGTGTCATAATCAGTTGGGCTAGTAATGAAACCCTCAATCTCCCCGTTTAAGGTTCTCAATGACTCTTCCTTTCGACTCAACTGATCCAGTATTTCTAGATGAGTTTCTGTCTCTCTATCGTCGCTTTCAATTAAACTATCGATTTTACTAATTAATTTCGTCACACTAGCTCTTATCGAAGCGCGTTTTTTCTTTAATTTCTCGAGTTGATCCATTTTAAACTGTCTACCACGTATAACGGACAGGTAAATTCCTCCTACCTTGGATAGGTGACTTAATGAAGTTTGACCCAATCTTATTTGCTTGCGAAGTTGTCTCTCTTTTCTTCTTGATCCGCCTCGACGGACCAGATGTTTGTCGATCTTTAATGGACTGTAAAAATATGAAAGTACTGCGGTTTTGCAAAAATAACGTTTAATGCGGAATGAAACACTGGTACAAAATGGCTGCTACAAATGACCGTTATAGAACTACTCTCGTTCACAATTTTTTTTTTATGACAAAAATACGGTGGCGCTTGAGGCGCTAACAGCCTATATTTAACGTAATAAACATTTTGTGTGTTAAAAGACAAACGTTCAATTCTTTGTTAATCAATTGTTAAAATCTTTAAAAAGATTTTAACAAATGAGTTTAACATCAAAACATTCTTTAACAATTGTTAAACAAATTATTCAATGAATCAAATAATTCTTGTAAATAAAAAGTTTTTTGTAAATTCTAAAAATTAATAAAAAAAATTCCCAGATTAAAGAAGTAAAACTACTTTCTCTTATCCGACTTCGAGCGATTTATTTTAGCAAACAAACAAACAACGTAGAAATAATAAACGTTAAAATTATTTATCTTTTTAATTATTAATTGAAAACTTTAAATTTAGAAAATCAGTCTAAATATATAAATGCTTTCTTTAATGGTGTTTTCTTGTGTTTTTCAACAGAAGTAATTTAATCCTGAAACAGACAAAAATTCCACTCTTTTTCGTAATCGGAATCCAGCAAAAGTGAAAAATCTTAACTTTAACTTCAATCCATATTCAATAATACAGTTTTGACGAAAGCACAGTGTCAAGAAAGTAATTCTAATTCCTGTTATAATAATGTTACATTACTCGAATTATTCTTTTTATTAACTCAGAAAAAGTTTAATTGATAAACAATCAATTCGCATCCATTTTAAATAACACATTTTAGACGGATCAGTATTGTTGTGTTGTGTTTTTCAGTTTAAAACTTTTAAAAGATAATAAATATTGAATGAATTTCAATTATTTCGATTGAATTAGAGATTAAAAGAGAAGATAATTCTGTTTCATCCGGATTACTAGCAATTTCCTCGCGTGTCAGATCTTCAATTCTATTTGTTTCTGTTTCAGGTTCGTCGGTTGTCATAACATTTATACCTTTGACGGAATCTCTCGCGCTAATTTATATAGATCACATGCGGAAAGTTCATTTGATAATGGGAAACTAGAGAATAAAAAAACACAGCAATTCGTAAAACTTTCTTCGCGTGCGTTCAATATTTATATAAGAATTTGAAGAAGAAAAACAAAGAAAATGACAAATAAAAAAATATAATTTCAGATTATAAATGTAAATAATAAATAATTTCTTTAATATTTTTAGGTATTTCGCTGCAAGAAATTAAAATCTTTGCCAAGCTTTTGCATTTCGAATGGGTAGATCGACGGTTTGTTCCATCATTAATGAACCTTGTCGAGCTATTTGGCAGGCGTTGGCAAAGCATTAGGCTGTATACACATTAGGCGTTTTGCGTTGCGTTAAACGCGCGTTAGCTCGGCGTTCGACGACCGTTTAGTGGAGCGTGAAGACTGGCTCAGTTTGGAAATGGGCGTGAAGGTAATTACTTGTGTCTGCCTCATCCATCGCCGCTATAAAAGACGATGGCAGAGGCAAAGAGAATTTTGGGTGCTGAAGAAAGAGATAGACTGACGCATGGAATGTTTGTGACGTTGTATTCAAAACTAAGACAATATGAACCCAAATTCTTTAATTTTTTTAGAATATCTATAAAATCATTTGACGATGTTTGGTCTCTTTTAGATTTCATCAATAAATAGATCAGTATTGAAATGATCGGTCTCCGTTTAGGCCAACGTACGTCCACTCTATCCGAAAGCGCACGATCGAATGTACCACAACATGGCAGCACATATATCTCAAAGCGCGTTCTAACAAAAATCTATCAACGCGCGTTTGGTCAGTAGCGCGCGTTTGAGTATGTATACCTATGCAGAACTCTTGGTTCTTTAAAACACGCGTTACCAAAACGCGCGTTTAAAAACGCCTAATGTGTACACAGCCTTAGGTAAAGATTCCAAACAGAAAATAATTTGCCAATTTTGCTATCGAATTTGAAAAAAAGACGGAACTTTGCTCATTGTGTTAGTGCAATGAATGTAGTGATGTAAAAATTGCTGTGNGGAATGTTTGTGACGTTGTATCCAAAACTAAGACAATATGAACCCAAATTCTTTAATTCTTTTAGAATATCTATAAAATCATTTGACGATGATTGGTCTCTTTTAGATTTCATCAAGAAATAGATCAGTATCGAAATGATCGGTCTCCGTTTCGGCCAACGTACAGTACGTCCACTCTATCCGAAAGCGCGCGATCGAATGTACCACAACATGGCAGCACATATATCTCTAAGCGCACGGCTAACGCCCGCTAAACGCGCGTTTTAACAAAAATCTATCAACGAGCGTTTGGCCAGAAGCGCGCGTTTGAGTATGTATACCTATACAGAACTCTTGGTTCTTTAAATCACGCGTTTGAAAACGCCTAATGTGTACACAGCTTTAGGTAAAGATTCCTAACAGAAAATAATTTGCCAATTTTGCTATCGAATTTGAAAAAAAGACGGAACTTTGCTCATTGTGTTAGTGCAATGAATGTAGTGATGTAAAAATTGCTGTGACGCAGACAAAGTTTTTCAATATAAAATTTCGACCGGTTGTCGATTAAAAAAATTTAGGCTACTTTACGCTGATCGGGTTACACATTATCCATGAATTGACCACGTGGAGAAAAGCCAAAAATAAAATTACTTTCACATACGTAATGCTTAGCACGCGCTGCGATTATCTTTTCGTAAGCGAGTTTTCCATTGTTGCGTAAAAAATAAATGTTGAGAATAGATTTTCGGCAATTGTCGGAGCGATATTTTTGAGAAAAGATATTTTGAATGCGAAAAAAATGAATTTTTCAAGTAAGTGAATATAATTATACAATAAAAATATAGTTTAACAATTTTTTTAACGTATTCGCAATAAAAACAAAAACATAAAATTAATAGTAATTTTCTAGCAGATGTTTCAAAATTTTTATAACAATGTTATACGTTGATAGCGAATACATTCTCTTCGTTGAATTCCATAAAAATCTAATATAAATTAATCACATTAATGAACAAATGTAATTGTGATTGTTTTCGCTTTTTTTATTTTCTGTTTTACGTTCAAAAAATTCTTGAAATATTTCTGAATCTTTATAATTTAGTAATTACATTGAAAATATTTCCAATTAAATTACTCATTAGAAAATCGTGCATTTAGCACGAATTTCATAACAGAGAGGACAGTAAGAGGTATCAGTTAACAAGCACCGAGCACACTTTCATACTTAACATTAATTCATGAAATACTTTCTAAACAGAAACTGTCGCTTATTGTAAATAGAAAATTTCTAACATCAATTATTAGGAACATGAAAATTACAATCAGACATTTCTTAGTGTCATTAACGATATTTAACTTTGCAGTCATTTTCTGCTGGAGACAAACGTTAAACGTATTTTTTGCAAATAAATAACAATTTATTATTTCATTTCTTCATCTTTTCTAAAATTTAAATATTCCATTTCATTCGTATGTATAACATTAGAAATTATAACAACATTTTTATAACGTTAATTTCTTTCACGTTACTTTTTATTTCATTAAGTATGAATTAAAACTAGTCGCTTTTAATTATATTTAAAATATTAAAATGATTGTTTTCAGGTGGAGAATATTTTTTTGTTGGAAGTTATATTCCATATGAAAACTATATGGATTATTTTAATTTTGAGGTAAGTTGATTTAATTATAATCTATAACATAATAAAAATACAGTTAATAATTATCAAATAGCAATAACATCTTCTTAAGTAAGTTAAATACAAAGTTGAAATAAATTAGAAACGATAATTTGAATTCACATTTTATTCAAATACTCTTCCAAATCTAGCAAATATCTTCAAAAATATTCTAAACATTACATCATATAGATGGCTGCATTTTTAATATAGGCTGCTCGGAATTCACATACGATATAAAAAAATATATATACAAATAATAAATGAGTCGTAATTTGTAAGAATTCAATCAAGTGTTTCTGTATTAATAAATAATTATTGTAAATAAATTGGATAAATGCATTTACTTTTACACATTAAAATAATTACATGAATTACTGCTGTTGAATATTATTGTGTTCTAGTATTTCGTAAGGCAAATAATCAGTATTTATTATAAAGCAAATAACACTTATGAATTGTTATTATTACAAATAAAACGTAAATGTGACATTTAAAATTGTTATTATTAATCAATTTTATGTTTAATTTTTTAGCATGCCAGGCAGAGGCCTGAATATGGGCCAATTGCCCAATGGTCAGAATTTGGACCATTTGTATACATCGATGAATATGGACGGATGGTGCAGATGCCTGGATATGGGTCTCCGCAAGTATTTTATGGTTACCGTCCGCCCTTTCAACAAGGCGCTTGGTACGTTCGAACTGAAGTACCCGATTATGGGCCGCCTATTCAAACATCCGAGTATGATATGGCGCCAGAAGTAACTCAATATTGGCAAGCGCCCGAGAACTATCAATATGGTTCGTCGACAGAAGAACAGAGGAGCGAACCTCCATCAAATATTTTAGAAAATCAATCAATAACAGAAGTGCTCGAAAATGAGCAATGCTCCTCAAATGTTTCTTATCAGCACATTAACGGTATGTGTCGTTAATTTACAGTATTAATTAGATAGAAATATGAAAATACAATTAACAAATAATATTGACAAATTTACATGAACTGAAATAAGTCACATGAGTGTTTTCTGGGTGGAAAAAGTAAAAAAAAGCTAAGATTTTTGCCCGATATTGTATGGCCAATATCTGAATGATAAACACTAGAAATCATAGGAAATATATAAATTCTTTCAAATACATAAACACAAACTAATAATAAATTAATATTATTAACAAACTGTATGGACACAAGATGCAAGTAGAGAAAAATCAATGTACCGTCACCCCAGACTTTGGCTGTTCTTATTGATATGTGAACAGCTATTGTCGATACTGCAGTTACGTAATCTACAAATTGAATTTTTTAATTCTTGAAGTTAGACTATTTACAAAAATATATATTAACATTTTCGAGTCTATCATTAAATCCTTTTACACAAACCACAGAAGACACAGTTACATTGGTTAGAAGATAAAACTTCTTTAAAAGACAAATAATAAAAGGTAAAAATTCACAATATATTATTAAAAATATATATATAAAAATTCACAATAGTCTAACTTCAAGAATTAAAATATTGAAGAATGTCCTGAGTCAACATTGAACANTGTTCTTATTGATATGTGAACAGCTATTGTCGATACTGCAGTTACGTAATCTACAAATTGAATTTTTTAATTCTTGAAGTTAGACTATTTACAAAAATATATATTAACATTTTCGAGTCTATCATTAAATCCTTTTACACAAACCACAGAAGACACAGTTACATTGGTTAGAAGATAAAACTTCTTTAAAAGACAAATAATAAAAGGTAAAAATTCACAATATATTATTAAAAATATATATATAAAAATTCACAATAGTCTAACTTCAAGAATTAAAATATTGAAGAATGTCCTGAGTCAACATTGAACATTGTGAACTTGTACAAATTGAATATTTAAAACTTATTTTACTCCGAATGTTCATTAAATTGTATCAAGAAAGATTAAGTAAGCTTCTCAGTATACGTTAATAAACATCCACTTGTTTATTTCGACCGGGTTCTCTTCAGTAATATTACTTTTTCAGTTGACGTTATGATCAAAACAATTTACACTTTACAGGCAATTAATAATGTCAAATTAAATTGCAGTATTCAAGATTTGTGACAATAATAAACTTTTACTAAATTTTTAGTTTTATTCTTGTGAATTTACAACAGAATAGTTTCAAAATATATTTCGACAATAAGGATTTTATCTGTAAACTATTTCTCATTTCCTTTGTTTCTCTCTTTCAAATTCTTATATAATTATTGAATTCACGCGAAGACAATTTTACGAATTGCTGTGTTTATTGTGTGTACTTTTATTCTCTAGTTCCTGAAAATCAAATGGACAATGATAATACAGAAGAATGTTCCTTGTATGATATAAATAATATTAATGCGGACGATTTTGATAAGAATATAAATGCTATTCCATCCGACGAACCTCAGACAGGAAGAACAATCACAAAAGTGAAATGTGATGAACCTGATAATAACCTGGAGGAAACGGAATTGTCCTCTTCTGTAAGTAACAATTCAATCGAAATAGTTAAAAGTAATGTAATAACTCTTATCATTTAAAAGTGTAAAATTAAAAAACCATAATAACGATCCAAATCTAATAAAATGTGTTAAAATGGCTTCAAGTTGTTTATTTATTACAAATGAATTTTTTTTCAATTAATAGAAAAAATATAGGAGTACTGTAAAATTATTCTATCAGAAATCAGAATTTTTCACTTTTTTACAGGACTCCGATGAAGACATTGAGGGGTTTTACTTTTGCATGTCCGACGTTGAAATAACACCATTCAAACGGAGAAGAAGACCTTTAAAGAGGGCATTTTCATATTTACAATTTCATTCTTTGGCCGGACAAACGATTCAAGAAGAAGATGAATTGGATGAATCGTCGGAAGATGATGAAAGTATTATTAACAGTGCTATTAACATCACGCCTGAATCACTAAAATTGAGTGAAGTGGAAGTATTAAATGAAGGTGGGGTAACATAGAAATTACAATGAATTACCCGATTCATAGATTAATCTGTTTAACGATTATTAAGGAATAATTTTATGTTAAACTCATTGTGTTAAAATTTCTTTAAATTTAGAAACTTAACATTAATATTCGCAGACTTTCACTTGTCGTAAGTGATTATATTCAAAACAATTCAAAAATACAAAATTAATTTGAAAATGTTTAATTCTACAAAGATTTTATTTATTTCGTCTAGAATACTTTTAATAATTATTTTTGTTACTGTTTAAGTAACAAGTTTAACAGACATTAAATAAAAATTCACCGAAAACATTGTTCAGGTGGAGTAAACAAAAGAATGAAATGATGGCGAGAGACACAATGCTCTTATTTATGACATAATTCATTGTTTTGCAGTGTACTGATTTCTGATATCAAATGTAATTAACAATTAATTTATCATCTGTCAAAGTATACGTCTAGAAATTCAATATAAGTGTCTGAATTTTACTTTTCCGGCTGTTATATTATATTAATCTTTCAGTGTTTTTGAATCTTTGTGTTTTGATACCTCCGCACACAAAAAGGTCAAAAAATTAATTTCCGAAATATGTGACCGTGTCTATTTCGTTTCATAACTGAGGATAAACATTACTAAACGACCTTTGCATAGTAACTTGTATGGTAAGGAACATCCAGGCGATTCAATTTGTGTGGTTGAAGCACGAAGGGATGACAAATAAAAGTGTGCCTCGTGAACACTCGATCTTTATAAAGATTTCACACCTTATAATACATTTACAATTTTGTATCCAAGTGATTTGTATTTTAAAAATTAATCTTTCTCTGGATTCTTTGAGTGTGTGACGTTAACAGATAACTGTAAGATAAACGCTTGTAGAATTGAGACATCGAGAACGAAATTTGAATTCTCGTCATATGTAACACGAAACTTAAATATAATTTTTGTATATAAACTCGGTGGGATTATTACCAGCAACATCCGGCGTATTCAACACAAGTCGTACTCTGCGCTTGTATTCAAATTTACATAAAAAACAGACAATTCGTTTAACGTAGGCAGTTTTTTGTTTACAGTAGGAGAGATCTGAGTTGAAATTATATTATTTCACCTCACTGTTTACATAATGGTACTACTACTGACTTGCTGTATACAGGATATGCCTTATACATATATATTTTTATATTAACTTATTAGGCGGTTTAAATATCTTATAATGAATGTGTTTGAATACGATTACGCATTATAATATAAAATTACGAAAAGATAAACTGTTAAATGATTACTTTGTAGAAACTAATGACAAGAAAAAATCTATAAAAGAAAATAAAGAGTTAATACAACCGAAAGAGAGAGAAAATGCCGCTGGATCTTCACCCAAAGGTGAATCTGTAACAGATGATGCTGACGACGATGAAGAAGTAAGAAAATATTTTTTTAATATTCCTTACTTTACACTTATATATTTATTGTCGTTTATTGCTAAACTTTTACTTCTAATATTTAAGATTTTCGGTATTTTCGCTGTGTCTCCAATGATTCTATACACTTTAAATAATAGCACGAAATCATTCGAGTTATAAAGTATATATTCAAAATTAAAAAAAAAATAAATGATTATACACATTAAATATTACTTTGAGAATGGTCAAAGTTAAAATAAGACAAATTAAGATATTTAATTATTGGAGAATTTTGCGTTATAAGCGAACATTTAATCATTTCTGCTTGTGGTTTACAAAAACCGTTTGATTTGATTAAAGTCCTTTTGTAAATGTTTGGCATTTAAATTTAGTTTTCACATTTATCCATTTATGATAACATTTAAAGAAGACAACTCGTGTCTTTCTAATAGGAAATTTTCAACTGATTAAAAAGATTTAAAATACAATTTTTCATTATTTCCCATTGTTTATTGTAATTATGCTTGCATTATTTTCGAACCAACATTTTATATAATTTGATTTTCATATTTCATTTACAAAATGTTTATGTTATTTTCAGAAAACCACCAAATGTTTTGATGTTTTTGTAACATTTTTCCGCAGAATTTCTTCCGTCATCTGTTTTTGTTGCGGAAAAAGAAAATAAAATGGCCAATGGTTACAAAAAGTTTGTAGAAGAGTGACTGAATTTTAATTGTTGCATTTCGGTGAGTTGAAACAAATTGATCGGTGTACGTTTATCATCCTATTTTTCTTAATAGTATAAAAATGAACGTCACATTTCAGATTACGCTTTTAATATTAATTGAAAAATTAATGAATTAATAAATTAATGAATAATAATCGTATATATAATTATAAGAGAAGGGCACATTTCAAAATTTATGTAATGAAAATTTCTGAATGGGAACTTTGGCGGCACGTGAAATCGAAGCATCTGCTCTGTACTTTCAGATGCTTTTATGTTTTTATTTTATACAGTTTGTTATATAATTGTCTACAAGGACACAGCTTATTAATAGGACTTATTGTAGTGGTGTTAGTTTTCTGCAATTAAAAAAATTTATCGAGACAAAATAAACAATCTTTATTGTCCAGTACGTTTTTCGCCTGTACACACTTTATTTGTGTTTCGGATTTTCATTTCAGGTCTTTCTTCAGCAGGTTTACAATGCAAACATAATGCTAAAAACAAACATTTATAAAAATTCACAATACTATATAACAAAGATTACCTGACAATGATATGGATGTGTTAGCATGATTTACAATTTCATTCTTGTTAATTACTTCGATATTTAAATAAATTCACAGTACCTGTATAAGGTACTCAGTACACTCAGAAAATCATAATACCTGTATAAAGTTAAAACACATTTATAAAAATATAATGTTTTAAAACGTTTAAAAGAATTTGTTTATTCTCACATACCTGTGCATGCAACAGAAAACGATGAATAACATTTTTACTTAGCTTACTCCTTTTATAAACTTTTCATACCATTGCTCCTGTTATCAATAATACTGTTCCATGATTGATGGATAAATATGTTCGTATAACTGTCTTTTAAGATTGTTTGTTTTTTTTCTTGTAATTTAATTGTATCTAAAACAATTTCGCATTTTTTATATTACAATGTTCTGCCACTACCGAATTTTCATTATTTTTTTTATGGCTTTGATGTGTTCCTTCAAATTTATTTTGCATTTTCTGTTTGTCTTTCCTAGGAAAATGTTAAAAATAAGTTAGGTATGTATCTTTAATTTATATGTATATATAAATGAATATGTATATGCGTTATGCACGCATAGGCCGTTCGACAAATTGCTATAACAAACGGCAGTTACGTTAGCATTTTTCTGACTTAGATAATGTCTTATATACCACCCCAAAATATTGATCGAATTTTTATATATCAATCAATTTGTGTGTATACATTCGATTCGGATCCAAGACCAACTGCTGGTGTTCGGTGGTTTTATTTAGATGTAGATACTATAAGTCTAAACCAGTGTTTAATTTACACAATTTTAGAGAATTAATTGGTTAACTGATTTAAATGATGTATGTGTTTTGTGTCCTTTTATAATACAAAATCCTGTAGAATTGTAGTCTTGCGATACTGCATAAGCAACAGCATAAATGGATGTATAGGGAGATTATTTAGTATCTTTATGTGATATTAACAGTAATATAATTGTATACAGTATAAATCAAACGTCGCAGTTTTGCTTAAACGCTCAGAGTCAATGGCTCCCTACATTTTTGGTATCCTGCAGCTTGAACTGTTATGGGGCCTTTCTGAAATCAGCAATGAAAGATAACGATTCAAGCTGCAGAATACCGAAAATGTAGTTGCTTTGTGGCCATCCGAAATTAGAAAACTTAAAACATAAGCTTAGTTAGTTTCATAATAGATAAGCCACAGCTCCAAAGTGAATAATATAATTCCGTTTCAAACATATACATATGTATTTTAAAAATACATANAAATCAAATGTTAAGAATCATTGTTTCTGAATGAATTATTAAATCGGCTTTTCAACGAAAGTACAGTATTTGAAGTTACTTTGCAAGACTGTTATAATTTTAATATGGTAAATAAGAATTACTATAAAATTAATAAATTATATTTATTTATAGAGCATCATAAAATATAATTTATACATACAAGCTTTAAATATATACAAGTTATTTAAACCTAGCAGATGAGCTAGGCGATGCTCAGGCAAAATGGAAACTTTTTACATAAGTCTCTAATTATCTTTTGTTTATCAATCCATTAGTTTCATATAAAGCATTATTTTTCTCCTTTAAGTTTTTTCAAATTCCAAAAAGTGAAGAAGTTGTTGACAGGTACTTTGTCTCTTTGTTTATGAAAGCATGAACAGGAGTACTGTACAATGTGTGACATAATCACTTGGTTGCAACTGATTCTTACCAAATAAGGAAAATCGTTTTTCAGAAACTCAAAACACGTTGATCGATGATTATTTGTCTAATTACTTGGTACAGAATTTGCTTGCAGATTTCTACATCGACCATAACGGCGTATTTCGTCTTGAGCTAAAATTGTGTTTCATAACCAGTTGAATGTTTTTTAGTAAATTAAAATTTTATAAATAAATCATCTAATGAAAGAAATAAATATTGGATTGACAGGTAATGTATCGATATGTATGTGCTGTCTGCCAAGGGAAAGATGAGTCCAGTAAGGTGTTATATGGAAAACCAGTCGTTATTCAGTTGTTAGACACGTGAACGGAAAAATCTCAGAAACCATCACGCAGCCAGCTTAGAATACAATGTTCAGTGATTATATACATATGGTCATAAGTGAAGGGGATGAAAATATGAATATAGAACTGAAGAATATTAAAAAACAATGCGGTGTATAGAGTGCACCATCGGTAAATCACTTAATCATAATTAGTTAAAATTCGTCGTATGTTTAAAGTACCGTATCATATTACACCAATATACTTAACAGTTTGGAAATTTTTTCTTTACTCGTAACGCCTAGAATGTTACAGAAATTCTAGTTGACAGAATTGAACACATTTATTTAAGTGTGAATATTTTCAATGGCAATTTTTAATTACGGTATCTAAACAATCACAGTACATTATTTCTCAGTTAATGAAACTGCTGCTTTTTCGTATAGAAAAAAGGTATTGAATTGCATTTAGCGCAATCTATCATATCATAAGTAAACATTATTTATGATAGGCTTATGCCTGTTAGAAGAAGTTGGTATTATTATAACAAATTATTGAAAAAGAGTAACATAGAAATAATTTGAGGCAATTGTAAGAAATAGTCTAAAAGGACAATTTCTTACAATTTTTTCATAAAAACCCATCAACATAATCATAATCATAGTTTTGTTTGTATTTAACAAAGAAGAAATTACAAAGATGTTTGGTTGGCTAATGTCAAAATATTTTTGTGCGTAATTATATAGATTATATATTGTATTACTTTTAGCTCTACGGAAGAAAAGATACGTAGAATTTTCGTTATTCATGAAGTCCAATGCTTCGAGATTATATCGTTTACGTAACTCTTGTTATTACAAATACAAAATAAATGAAATTTAGACATGGGAACGTCACAACTTATACAGAATAATTTAGAAAATTGGTAAATATTATTATTAATAAATATAATTTCTCTATTTAATCTCAATTGAACAAAGAATTTTTTAACATTGAAGGATAGATCTGTGCTCATATTAGTGTTTGAATAATCTAAAATTATATTATAAAAAGTAGAATTAATACGATTCCTAACATCATAAATGTATCGAGTTAAAGATATTTCAAAGAAGTTATGAATTAGGCCGTAATTGTATAGTATATAATTCACATTGATCGGATTTATGTATGAACGGATCTATCGAGAAACCGAACATATTAAACAAATTTGACAATTGACAAATCCAATTTTTTCTTGACTTATCAACGGAAGATTTTTAATGTGGTATTCTCAACAGTATGGCTGGAAGCCCTCTCGTTATCTCTCAATCGACTTAGGAATTTAATATATCCTTTAATAAAAAACGGTCCCACTCTAAATCTGTTCACTTCGAGACGAAGCGCCGCACCAGGAACATTACAACCCAGAGAAAAAACTGCGTACAAATTTGTTTTGAATTATCTCTATAATGAATTAATTTTGTAGTAATAGCATTTCTTGTCGAACCAATTCTGTTTAAATTTGTTAGTCGTTTCATTATTAATATTTTTTTTTCTTAATAAAAAATGACTGTAATAGTTTCATTAGATATTCATAGTTCTTATGCGGATTATTATTCTTTTCTTGTGATAACAATTCGTCAGATTTGAATGTCAATTCTCCCGGAAATTTTTGAATATTAAACTTCGCTCTCGATCTGTCGAATTTGAGAGAACATCAAACTGTTTCGTTAGATTGATTGTATCCTTTCCCCTCCTGATACCAAATTTATAGGAAAGTGATCAGACATATATCCATATTTAGAACTTCCATGGACAAACATTGGTCTATCATAGATTTTCCCATGTGAGATATGAAGGTAAATTGAGCCGGATAATCACCTTTGATTCTACAGTTCAGTTGAATCAAATCATTTAAAGTTGAATAAAAGTTTCGATTTTATCACGACCCGAAAAAGAATAAACTTCGAGTATAGTAACCCCAAAAATTTTATATCCCTTTGTAATTTACGTAAGCAACAAGCTATAATCTATTAATAAAATTAAACTTTTCTTAAATTAAGTGTCCGAATTTTATAGATAAAAGCTAATACATCGTAAAGACAATTACGCCCTGAACTATAACAAAGATAATGAGATCTATTCAGTGATTGATATATTTTTATATTCAGAGAGAATTTAAATCTCATTCTAGATATGTGAAGCCATTTCTTAGACAAAATAGAAGTGGAAGTAACTTACACTACAAATTCGATTTGTAATGCAAGTTGCTTCCGGGCTTCTGACAGTTAGAATCGTAACGCGAAGAATAGCTGATGACTCCATTATTCAGTTATGAGTGTAACTGATAACCGAAACTTAGGCACTGTTGCCCGAGCTCATTGCTTAATAATATACGGCCAGCTAGTTTTCACCCTACGTTAAACCCTTGTCCTCCCGGGAATTTTATGAGAATGTCCCGGGAAATCCAACACCAGCTGTTTTCAAGGTCATCCAGCTGTAAACACAATTACTCATTGGCATCAGATTTCACAGATAGGCGAGACAATGGAAAATAAAACTTCAATTTAAATGACTGTGTATTTTATTGAATATACGAAGTTATAAAAGTCTTTATGAAGTTCACCTTAAAAACTATATTTATTCCGTAGAACTGTTTAATTAGGATTTAATTTTTAAAAGTTAATTTTTAAGTCGGATTAAATTGGAATTTGAAAAATTTCCAGCTAACTTAAAATCCAGGATAATTATATATATTACAATTTACTTTGAAATATTGTTAATAATATTACAAATTAAATTATCTTAAACTAAACAGGTATTACTATAATTTAACTTTGTAAAGAAAGTTTTTCCTTTAATTTGCTTTAAATTAAAACATGAATTTAGATAGAAGATTGTGTGTTTTATGCTTGGGTTGACTTCTTAATCATGCGCAGAAACAAAAATTCAAGGTTAATTAATTTCTTCGTAATGAGTTAATATTCGAGAGTGTAACCTGCAGATTCACGAATTGAGCACAAAACTTCGTCTTATTTTGCACAAATTGATTATAATAAAAACAATAATAAATTATAATGAAAGTAAGAGTATGTTTGAAACAATTTACTACTATTGATCCTTTTTTATACAACCACAGAAGTACCCGTTACATTGACTTGAAGAAATACCTTCATTAAAAACAAATAACAGTAGGTAAAATTTTACATCATTAAAAACGATCTAACGTTAGCCTTTTGTTTGAGGATAATTCGAAGAAAATATCCTGAGATCAACATGAAAACTGTAACTAAAGCATTATTGTTATTATTATTTAAAGGAGAATCCACTCCTTATGTTTAGAGCATAACAATTAACAACGAATTATAGAAAATGATTTTACATACCTTATTTAAATTTCTGATTAACACTTTTAAGTGATCGTCTTCGTGTGTGGTTTTAGTTTTAATAAAAGCTTTGATAATTATA